AAAAATACGCAAAAAGTGAAACGGAAACCTGACTCACGCAATAAATAAACAAGGAAGATGGAGGGCCAAGAAAAGAAAGGCTTTCTTCTGCAGCGCAGAGTTAGACCTGGTTAGGGCGAGGAAACAAGCTGGGAGACGGCTGGAGGGGAGGAAAATTATGGTCCAATGCCAACCAAGGCTGGTGAGGGTTCCTCATGGAGCCTTCCTGGTGGCCGGGAGGGAAGCAAGAAAGCAGACTTTGCCGTCTCAATAATGCTCCACTTTAACTGTCATTAACCTTTTAGAATGTATTAGGCACGGTTTCTGAGTGTTCTGCATTTGTGAATCTCCCCCCTCTTACGCTGCATTGCATCTCTCCTTACCTGACCCTGAAAGTGCAACAAATGGCAGGATGTTTTAGCAGCAGAGTGTAAATCAGCTCTCTGTGAAGCTATCTGAGACCCAGAAGAGGATTTGGCGCATGCTCTTCCTCACTGATGGCGAGGTTGCCAGGGCAATGCTGGACACCTGAGACCTGAAATGGTCTAATGGCCTGGGCACATGGGGTCACTCCAAGGTGATGGGGCCCTTTCCTGGGGTAGGAGGGAGAGCAGCTCTTGAGGACCCCAGGGTTAGAAACCCAACCCCCAGATTGGTGTGAAAATTGTACTCAGTCAAACACAGTTCTAAATTCCTTCCTTGACCAAAAGCACCAAAAGGCAGGAGCAAACAGGCAGATTCATCTCACAGAAATCCCTCAGTTGTCATCACATTTGGCGGGGTCACTTCCCTTCTAGGAGGGCTAGACACGGTGGGGGGAATCAACCCCCCACTGCTCCCAGTTTGGATGGCATGGCCTCTTCCTGCTTCAGGGCCAGCTGAGTCTGGCTCATCCCCCTGGGCTCTCAGGAAGCCTCCAAGATATCAGAAGGAAGGAATCCCTTTTGTCTTCTGCCCAGTTCTGGCTGTCCTGAGTAGAGGGACCTCTACTTATTACAGTGCTTACGACCTATTTTGACGGGCATTAATGATCCTGGCCCAACTGAACTGGCTGCCAATTAGCTTCCACAGACCTATAAAGCCATTACCATTATTGTTATTATTTTTAACGATTCATGAAACCACAGTAAAACTAACAAACATTAAAAACTTCCTGATCTAAAAGTCAGATAGTTATTTATTTTCTTAACATCTAACAAGAGGGAGTTCCACAAGGCGGGTGACACTATCAAAAAGGCCCCTTGCCTTGTTCCATGTAACCTCACTTCCCACAATCAGGGAACTGGCAGAAGGCCTTCAGAAGTGGAACTCAGGGTCCGTGTTGAACATATTAATCAAAGTCTCTGAAAATTAAATTCATAGACAGCCATTGTCTGGTTTCTCCCCACTGTGCCATCTTTGATGGCCTATGAGACTGGTCTTCTGACCGAAGCTCTGTCCACATTCCAAGCATTGATATGGTTTCTCTCCTGTATGAATTCTTTCATGGACTATGAGATAGAACTTCCTGGTGAACCTCTTTTCACATTCCATGCACTGATATGGTTTCTCTCCTGTATGAATTCTTTGATGGGAAGTGAGACCTTCCTTCCAGGTGAAACTCTGTTCACATTCCATGCACTGATATGGCTTCTCTCCTGTATGAATTCTTTCATGGACTGTGAGATTGAACTTCCGACTGAAGCTCTTCCCACATTCCAAGCACTGATATGGTTTCTCCCCTGTATGACTTATTTGATGGGTTGTGAGATGGGCACTCCGACAGAACCTCTTCCCACATTCCAAACACTGATATGGTTTCTTCCCTGTATGAATTGTTTGATGGGAAGTGAGACTTTTCTTCCAGGTGAAACTCTTTCCACATTCAAAGCACTGAAATGGTTTCTCCCCTGTATGAATTCTCTGATGGGAAGTGAGATCCTTTTTCTGGGTAAAGCTCTTCGCACATTCCAAGCATTGATATGGTTTCTCTCCTGTATGAAGTCTTTCATGGGCTGTTAGATTGAACTTCCGACTGAAACTCTTCTCACATTCCATGCACTGATACGGTTTCCCCCCTGTATGAATTCTTTGATGGGAAGTGAGACTCTCTTTCCGACTGAAGCTCTTCGCACATTCCAGGCACTGATAGGATTTATTCCCAAATGGATTTATTCGGAGGGAAGCGGAGTGGGAGCTTTGACTGAAGTTCTCTCTACACTCAGAATATTTACATTGCTTCTCCATGGTGTAGACATGGTCATGGTCTCCCTGGTTCTTAATCTCTGATTCATCACCATCTGCAACAAAGAAAGAAATGGATCACAGCCTCAGGGAGAAACGCAGCCCTCAGTTATTGAACTTTGCTAATTAATGCTTGGGACACAGGAAGAACTGAACTGAATTAAAAGTAAGGCCTTACAACAGGCTTCACTGCTTTTGTTGACAGGCATCAATGAACATATGTATGGGAACCTGAATGTCAGGAGTGGGGCAGCAATAAATCACACCGAGTAAGTGAAGTTAACTCCTTATGAGAAGCAACAGAAGTGTCTGCTCAGAAGTGGAAGAAGAAGAAGAGTTTGGATTTGATATCCCGCCTTCCACTCCCTTTAAGGAGTCTCAAAGTGGCTAACATTCTCCTTTCCCTTTCTCCCCCACAACAAACACTCTGTGAGGTGAGTGGGGATGAGAGACTTCAGAGAAGTGTGACTGGCCCAAGGTCACCCAGCAGCTGCATGTGGAGGAGCGGAGACGCGAACCCGGTTCCCCAGATTACGAGACTACCGCTCTTAACCACCCAGGCCTAGTGAGCACAGCAATACTTCCCTCTGGGTCTGGCCCCTACGTGCCAGTTGTGGGGACTGAAGGCCCTGCCTTCCTACAACTGACTAAGTCCCCTCCTCTCCCAGATTCTTCCCAAGGGATCTTAAATTCCGAAAGAGATATCATGATCCAACAGGGAGCCTTACTGAGAGAGTTCATGATCCCACCATTCTCCTCCATGACTTCCTTATGCAGAGCTCTCTGGTCAGGATCCAGCAACGCCCACTCCTCGTCTGTGAAACGAACAGCTATATCTTCAAAGCATACTAGGCCCTAAAAGAAGAAGAGAAAAGTCTTGCTCTCAGACAGCATAAAGATCATCTTCTACACACTGTGCTGCTGTTTTGTGTCTGTTTGTTGCCGTATGGTTTTAATGGGATTGTTTGGCTGTACATTATAATTATGGCTGTCCGTTTTAACCTCTTAATGGAATTGTTTTATTGTGTATTCTAATGATGGGTATTGATCTTTGTGTAAATGGATGGAACTCCACCTGGTGTTCTTCAGATCCTTCTCTGCTGAACATTCCCCCTTCCTCTCCCCCCCTACTGTTCTGGAGGGGGAAACCTTCGCCATGCCCTAAAGCCAACTTCAGGGCTGCAGGGGGTCACAGGGATGGGAAGGAGAGGGAAACCCTATAGTGCAACTGATGGGACTCGTTAGGTGAATTCTGGCCACTCTTTTTTATGGTTTGTCAGCTGTTGTGAAGCCTATCTTAGTATTAAATGTTAAATTGGTAAATAAAACTGAAGCTACTCATAGATAATACTAGCATCATTCAGAAGGTTAGTGAATGTGAGGTGATTGTTAATCATTCTCTGATCTTAACCTTCTGGAGTGGCCTTTACAGCCTTTGTTAAGGACAATGTTGACAGAGGTCAAGAGCAGGAGCCTCTTTGCCCGCTATGCTCCGTCTCCCTACCTGATCTGGTTCCAGAGCTGCTGCTTCTCCTCTGCCTCCATGCAAAGATGGAGGTATCCCTGGTATCATTCTGTCACCTGTGAGAGGCAAAGGGAAGTGGCCATTAGCACATGCTTTTCTTTGAGGTGAAGGAATGCACCTCTAACTACAGATGGGGCGCTCTATGCGCGGCTACCTTTAAAGGGGACTCAGAAACTAAGCCAGAAGGAGGCTACCAGGCTGGTGACTGGGAGCAGCTGCTGGGTCCATATAACACTGGTCCTGAAAGACCTACACTGGCTCCTGGTATGTTTCCAAGCACAATTCAACATGTTGGTATTGACCTTTGAAGCCCTAAACAGCCCCGGCCCTGTAGACCTGAAGGAGCGTCTCCACACCAATCGTTCAGCCCGGACACTGAGGTCCAGCTCCAAGGGCCTTCTGACAGTTCCCTCACTGCGAGGAGTAAAGCTACAGAGAACCAGGCAGAGGGACTTCTCTTGGCCCCAAGTGTCTTCCCCCAAAAGATGAAAAGAACCCACAGATTAGTTCCTAAATCCATAAAATGCAGCCAAAGGGAGAAAAAGCTCCTTCCTCCTTACCTATTGGCCTCTCTCTCCTGACCAACGGAGTCTTCTCTGCCTCAGAGGAATCCAGGCCCATTTCTGCAAAGATAATCTTTCCCTGAAAGAGCAACAAGGATTCAGAACAGGGGATGGAGAGAAATATTAGAAAAGGAATGGCAAAGGGAAAACCATTTGGGGATGCTCTCCAAAAGCTTAGCAGAGAATTTCAGGATGCTCTCCCTCCTGTTCAGACCCCCTTGAGAGTATCCAGAGGAAAGTCTCTCTCACCTGCTGCTCTGCCTGCTTCCTCTCCTCTGCCTGACTCAGGAGGAATCCTTCGGCCAGGGCCACCGCCTGGGAACTGGTCTCCGCTCCACATTCCCTCACCCAGCTCTCCATCTCCGGTGGAAGGACAGCCAGGAACTGCTCCAAGATCACCAGGTCCAGCATCTCAGCTTTCGTATGCTTTTCTGGCTTCAGCCACCGACAGGCAATGTGGTGGAGTTGGCTGCAAATCTCTCGGGGTCCGTTGGCCTCCTGGTAGCAGAACTGCCTAAACTGCTGGCTCTTCATATCAGAGTGGAGGGTGTCCTCCTCACCCAGGATCTTCTTCACGGAGCTTTCCCAGAATCCTTCACTGCTCCCAGTGTTGATGGCATGGCCCCTTCCTGCTTCAGGGCCAGCTGAGTCTTGCTCATCCATCTGTGTTCTCAGGAATCCTCCAAGATATCGGAAGGAAACACTTGGCCTTCTGCTAAGTTCTGTCTGTCCTTATTAAAGCGGCTAGCAAATCCTACAAAGGAATATGTCTTTCTGTTATAAAATTCATATTATTATTATTATTTTATTAAAATCCTATAATTCAAAGTTCAAGGTGTTTTAAAAAAAATAATATTGACGGCATCATTAAGTACCATTTCTAATGAGTCTGGCATCTTTTTTAGGGCCGGACGATGACTGGTTTTCAACATCGTAATACAGTGTATCACCAGCTAAACATCCCAATGCAGTGGTACCTCGGGTTAAGTACTTAATTCCTTCCGGACCTCCTGAAACTGTTCTTAACCTGAAGCACCAATTTAGCTAATGGGGCCTCCTGCTGCTGCCGTGCTGCCGGAGCACGATTTCTGTTCTCATCTTGAAGAAAAGTTCTTAACCCGAGATAATATTTCTGGGTTAGCGGAGTCTGTAACCTGAAGCGTCTGTAACCTGAAGCGTCTGTAACCTGAAGCGTATGTAACCCGAGGTAACACTGTATTCCGGTTTTAAAAGAGCAGAATTTGTTGTCCATTCTATTGAAGGGGCTCCCCTGAGGGTTCACTTAGACCCCCCACAAATCTGGAGAAGCGCCTCCTTCCCTTCAGACCCTCTGGGGAGGGGAGGCTGGCAGAGGGGGGGTTGTCTTGTGTTTGGGGGGCAGGGTGGCCCCAGAAAGGGCATCCTGGTGGGAGTTCCTGGGCTGGGGCATACCCTCCCCACAGAGCCCCCCCCGGCACCTGCCCCTCTTTCCCAAGGCCTCTGACCCCAGAGACAGGTGTTTCCAGGACCCAGAAGTCTGGGAAGGGGAGCTGCTCAGAATGTTTCCCCCTGGCTGCCATCTCTGCCCATCTTTCCCTAACCTGAAAGGGGCTTCTTTGCCTGCCTTTTCTCAGCATCCCAAGGGAGACCACCCTGGCAAGCTCGCCCCCTCCCGGGCTGTGCAGAGGAAGGAGGGGGGCAGGACCCTCCTCTCCCTGACCCCCCCCCATGCACCCCCCCCCCCGCTGCAGCCCTGGGACCCCTTTCTCCCAAGGGGGGGGGGAGAGGAGGCTCACCGCATCCCGGGAGGCGAAACCTCCCCCCGCTTCCCCCGCTTGCAGGAAATGACGGGAGGGAGAGGGAGGGGCCTTTGCTGGGGGGGGGGACCTGGTCCCACCCCCTCCTTCCTTTCCTCTACTCTAGGAATCCAGCTCAGTTCCCTGCGACCCTTGCAAAGCGGAGCGCCCCGATCTCAGCCCCCCATCTCGAAATGATGAATGGGGAGCAGCCCCGCCCTTTGCACCCGCCCAGAGAGGTTTTATGGAGTGTGCGCAGTGCGCTGCTAGAGTCTTGCTTTGCAGAGAGACGAGAAAAGAGGAGTGAGCTCGGGGTGCTCGGCTTGCCAAGGGTTAAAAGCAACGGGGCTGGATTCCTAGAGAGGAGAGGAGATGAAAGAGGGGAGAAGTCCTCCAGTGCAAAAGCCCCTCCCTCCCCACCCGCCCAGAGAGGTTTCTATTGCGGGGGGGGACAGAAGTTGTCAGAGGACAAGGGGTCCCTTCCCATCCCTTGGAGGCTTCCTGAGAGGCCAGATGGAGGAGCCGGACTCAGCTGGCCCTGGAGGGAAGAGGCCATGCCATCAACACGGGGAGCAGGGGAGGATTTTGGGGAAGCACCATCCTGACTAGGCGTTTGGCCAGGAAATGTGGACCGTTGCCTGTGAACTCTGCTCTTTCCCGTCTCCCCCTTTTCTGGTTTTGATTAAACCAATTCATGAACCAAGAACTCGTACACTAATAATGATCCAGGTGTTGTAGACATTCCCATAAACTTATTGTGTGGTTTTGTGACGCACAGATGACAAGAGAACCCTCCGTCTACTTATTTGTATCCTTTCTTCCTCCTGTGAGCCTTGTTTATAAAACCCAATACACCAGAATTCCAAAAAGGAAGGTGTTACGGAAGGGGGGGGCATGTCTTCTTCACCTCCTTCTTCGCTACAATATATCCATTTATTCCCAATTGTCAATGTCAAAGGGGACTAAAATCTATAAAATCCATAGAACGTGCCAATTTGCTCAATTTCTCTAGGACTCCTGGACACCTCCCCTGTCCTCCAAAATCCCTCAAGTAAGGTGTCAAGACCCTAATCCTGTCAAATCACTCTGCCAAGCCTTTCCTCCGGGCAATGCCAGGTGGCAGAATATGCATACATGGACCATTGACTTCCCATCACCTGCACTCAGGAAGCGCTTATCTGCGCATATCTCCAGCTCTGCATATTCCCCCCTCCCTCCTCCATATGTTAATCCGGTGTAACCCAACCTCTCCTTAATGTATTCATGATGTAACTGGGATGTATTTTGCACTGTATTCTGGGACATGGAGGGAGTTTCAAAAGTTCATGTCACCCCTTTCTCGCTGTTCAATCTCGCCTTGAACCTGTTGCGCAATAAACTTGGATCTTCTGCAGTTTGCTCCTGTCTGGCTGAGCTCATTTTCTTCCGCAGGGACCCGCGGTCTTACTTAGTCCGACGAGCTGGGTGGCAGAGTAGCCCCGCACCCAGATTTTAGCCGTAACAAAGGAAAAGGACAACACACACTCCCAGGTCCTCATATGCGCGGCATCTGCAAAGCAGGATTATCCCACTTTAGAGAGCACTGGCTTCCTCCTAACTAAGAATCCTGGGATCTGTAGTTTCTTAAGGATGCTGAGAGCTGCTAGGAGACACCCTCCAAGTGCGCTTTAATAATCTGTCCTTTTTGCCAGGGACCTCGGGGAATTACAGCTGGTGGGAAGAGGGTCTCTCAGCACTGGGGGGGGGCTGCCTCTTTCACCCCCATCCCTCCCAAGGTTCCCTCCCTTCCCAGCAGGGCTTGGATTCCTTGGGTGGGGAGACCTTTGGTGGTTCTCTGTTCAGGGCTTCCTGGTCAGTCTCAGAAGATCATTTGGACACCTGAGAGGCTGCATGTCTGAACGGGTGTACATGTGTCAAAGTCTGGAGAAGACCCTGTCGGATGAAGGAGTGGTGGAAGGAGTGAGGAAAACTTTCCTTCTAACTGAAGAACAACGGAGGGTTGGAACTCAGCATCACAACAGAAGACAATGGCTGTAGCCTGAGTTATTGGCGCCCACTCCGACAGAGCCAGGTGGGGCAGCCTGCCCACCGGCACAGCCATCGCCCCACAAGTGAGCCCCAACAGAACGAGCTCCATTGGCCCCACGTCCTCAAGGCCCCGTTCCTCCTCCCTGGGGGTGCCCTGAGGACTGGCTGCATGTAGAGAGACATAAAAATACGCAAAAAGTGAAAACGGAAACCTGACTCACGCGATAAATAAACAAGGAAGATGGAGGGCCGAGAAAAGAAAAGGCTTCTTCTGCAGCGCAGAGTTAGACCTGGTTAGGGCAAGGAAACAAGCTGGGAGATGGCTGGAGGGGAGGAAAATTATGGTCGAACGCAAGCAAGACTGGTGAGGGTTCCTCATGGAGCCTTCCTGGTGGCCGGGAGGGAAGCAAGAAAGCAGACTTTGCCGTCTCAATAATGCTCCACTTTAACTGCCATTAACCTTTTAGAATGTATTAGGCACGGTTTCTGAGTGTTCTGCATTTGTGAATCTCCCCCCTCTTACGCTGCATTGCATCTCTCCTTACCTCACCCTGAAAGTGGAACAAATGGCAGGATGTTTTAGCAGCAGAGTGTAAATCAGCTCTCCGTGAAGCTATCTGAGACCCAGAAGAGGATTTGCGCATGCTCTTCCTCACTGATGGCGAGGTTGCCAGGGCAATGCTGGACACCTGAGACCTGAAATGGTCTAATGGCCTGGGCACATGGGGCCACTCCAAGGTGATGGGGGGCTCTTTCCTGGGGTAGGAGGGAGAGCAGCTCTTGAGGACCCCAGGGTTAGAAGCCCCCCCCCCCAGCCTGGTGTGAAAATTGTACTCAGTCAAACACAGTTCTAAATTCCTTCCTTGACCAAAAGCACCAAAAGGCAGGAGCAAACAGGCAGATTCATCTCACAGAAATCCCTCAGTTGCCATCACATTTGGCGGGGTCACTTCCCTTCCCTGCTGCTGCACCGTGGTGGGGGAAGGCCTCTCCCTCCTCAGGCTAATTCCACCTGGCCTAGGGGGCGGGGCCCAGGCTCACCTCTGTGACAGCTTTAAGGACACTGGTGCTGCTGCAGCAAATGTTAAAGATGTTTTTATATATTTTAAGGTGTTTTAAAGGTGTTTTTACTGTTTACTCTGTTGTACCACCGTGAATGGTGGTTTTTATCAATGTATTTTTGTTTTGTTCCGTTTTGTTTTGGTTTGGGGTTGGATATTGAGTGGGGTGGGGATTGGTTTTGTTTGGGTATAATTGTTTTTGGTTGTTTTGTTTTTCTATTTTGTAAATGGAGGCAAGTATGAGGCTTGGGATTGCTACCGTGGAGGGGCGAGGGAGGTATGGCAGTGGGGGCAGATGTTATAGGCGAAGGGGATCGAGATATGGATATGCTTGTACCCCTTCCAGTCTGCGCTCCATCCCGAGGGACGAGGGTAGGGTGAGCAAGGATTACTCACCTCCGTCACTGGTGCTGTGCAATGCCAGGTCTATAGGCAACAAAACCGCCACCCTGCGAGATTTCTTTACCTCGCAGGGGGTCGATCTGGCTTGTGTGACGGAGACCTGGGTGCGCGAAGGGGAAACTGTTACCTTACGAGAGATGGCGCCCCCGGGTTTCTCCGTCCTCCACCAGTCGCGGACTGTGGGCCGGGGGGGGAGGGGTGGCATTGTTAATCCGGGAAGATTGTTCTTTCAGGGCCATCGCCATTGATCCCCGGCATTGAATGTGTTGGCCTAGTGTGGGGCTCTGAGGTGAGCTTGGCTGTCTGGCTGGTGTACCGGCCACCTAGCGCACCAGCAGCCACCCTGTCAGGCCTGCTGGAGGCGGTGGCCGGCTGGGCCTTGGAGTTCCCTAACCTATTGGTATTGGGGGACTTCAACATCCATGCTGATGCCACTCCCTCCTCACAGGCTCTGGACCTGGTGTCTTCCATGGCGACACTAGGGCTCTCCCAGTTTGTTTCGGGCCCCACACATCAAGCAGGCCACACGCTGGATTTGATCTTTGGCGCCGGTATAGATGTGATCATGTCTCCTTTGATGAAGGTGCCATGGTCTGATCACTACGCTCTGAAAGCCAGGATTGACTTTCCACCCCCACCCTGCTTAGGTGGCGAGCCGATTTGGGCTCGCCTGCAGAGGCTGATGGACCCTGATAGATTCCGTCAAGCCTTGCGGGACCTTGCTCCCCCTGGCGACTCATTGACTGAGCTTGTTGAGGGCTGGAATACGCAGCTCCCGGCAGCCATAGATGAGATCGCACCTAAGCGCCCTCTGCGACCCCGCAGAAACCGGGCTCCCTGGTTTACCGAGGAGCTTCGGAAAATGAAGCGGGATCTCAGATGGCTAGAGCGAGTATGGCGGGGTGCCCGTGACGGAACCTCAAGAACATCTTATAGGGTTTTTATGAAAACCTATGAGATGGCAGTGAAGGCCGCTAAGAAGTCTTACTTCTCGGCCTCCATTGCATCCGCTAGCTCTCGCCCGGCGCAATTATTTAGTATAATTAGGTCTTTAACGTCCCTTGAAGGACAGCCGAATTTAAATAACAATCTGACACACAGCTGTGAGGCATTTGCGAGCTTTTTTGCGGAGAAGGTCCTGTTGCTCCGCCATGACCTTCCTGCCAATTTGGATACAATAAATGAACTGGAGGCCCCTCGACTGTCCTCGGGTCCAGTATTGGACCACTTTGACCGGATATCTCCAGCCGATGTGGACAGACTCCTCCAAGCTGGAAAGCCCACCACCTGTCCTCTTGACCCGTGCCTGTCATGGCTGATTAGAGCGTGTCCAGACAAGGTGCGGGCCCCCCTGGGAGATATCATCAATTTGTCCCTTGGCACCGGGATATTCCCAGGGGAACTGAAGGAGGCAGTGGTGCGTCCGCTCTTAAAGAAAACATCATTAGATCCCTTAGATCTATCCAATTACCGCCCGGTTTTGAATCTTCCATTCCTGGGTAAGGTGATTGAGAGAGCGGTTGCTGAACAGCTTGGTAGGTTTCTGGATGAAACATCGGCTCTTGATCCATTCCAGTCCGGCTTCCGCGCTGGTCATGGGACCAAGACGGCTCTGGTCGCCCTAACAGATGATCTCCGCAGGCAGCTGGATCAAGGCGGGTCGGGGCTGCTGATTCTTCTAGACCTGTCAGCAGCCTTCGACATGGTCGATCACGAACTCCTAGACTACCGCCTTGCCGACGTGGCGATCCAGGGCACAGTCCTCCAATGGCTGCGCTTGTTTCTCTCTGGTCAGGGACAGAGGGTGGCGCTTGGGGGGGAATTGTCATCGCGCCACTCCTTGGTGTGTGGAGTGCCTCAGGGTGCGATTCTCTCCCCGATGCTTTTTAACATCTTTATGTGCCCCCTCGCCCAGCTTGTCCGGAGTTTTGGGCTGGGTTGCCATCAGTATGCTGATGACACCCAACTCTATCTGTTGATGGATGGCCATCCTGACTCGGCCCCAGACACACTGACCAGATGTCTGGAAGCTGTGGCTGGATGGTTACGTGGGAGCCGGTTGAAGTTAAATCCTTCGAAGACAGAGGTCCTCTGGCTGGGGCGGGACGATATGGGATCGAGGGGGCAACTCCCATCTCTTGCGGGGGTGCAATTAGTGCCAGCACCGTCCATTAAGAGTTTGGGTGTAATCTTCGATACCTCCCTCTCTATGGAGGCGCAGATTACAGCTATAACAAAGGCGGCATTTTTTCATCTCCGCCAAGCTAAGCAGTTGGCCCCTTATCTCTCTCGCCCTGACCTAGCCACTGTGATCCATGCGACGGTCACCTCCAGGCTTGATTATTGTAACTCGCTCTACGTGGGGCTGCCCTTGAGACTGACCCAGAAACTCCAGCGGGTGCAGAATGCTGCAGTGAGACTCCTTACGGGGTCTTCGCTGCGAGACCACATTCATCTGGTACTATACCAGCTGCACTGGCTCCCGGTGGAGTACAGGATCAGGTTTAAGGTGCTGGTTTTAACCTTTGAAGCCCTATACGGCCTAGGAGCCTCGTACCTACGGGACCGCCTCTCCTGGTATGCCCCACAGAGAAACCTACGGTCTGCAAATAAAAACATCCTGAAGGTCCCAGGCCTCAGAGAGGTTAGGCTGGCCTCAACTAGAGCCAGGGCCTTCTCGGCTGCGGCAGCAATCTGGTGGAATGCTCTGTCACAAGAGACTAGGGCCCTGCGGGACCTGACATCTTTCCGCAGGGCCTGCAAGACAGAGTTGTTCCACCAGGCCTTTGGTCAGGGCACAGCCTGACTCCCTCCTCTGGCAACCTGCACAGAATTTTGCGTAATGGTTGCCATCAACTTGATTTTAATTAATTTTTATAATGAAATATTTTTAGAATGTTGGATTATTTGATTGTTGTTAGCCGCTGTCAGGGGCTCAGGAGCAGAGGCACAGGGGAGAGAGGAAATGGAGAGCGAAGGGGAAGAATCTGAGGGCAGCGTAGGGGAGTATGACAGTGACCCGAGAGATTCCATGAGCTTCTCCAGCGAATCAGAAGATTCCGAGAAAGGAGGCGCCGATGTTCAGGGCAAGGGGGGTCCCAGGGGGGACGCACCAGAAACAAGGGGCCAGCGGGGACTCCCAAAGCAGCAGCGGGAGATCAGGACCAGCTTCCCCACCAGAGCGTAGTGGGGGGGAAGAGTCCCATGTGTCAGGGCCAGCGTCTCCTCCAGCAGGGAGAGAAGATGAGTCAGGGCTGACCACGCCTCTATCGGAGAGTGGGGGAACGGAGGGGAGGTCAGATCCAGCTAGCCTCCCCGAAGGGGGAAGCAGTGGCAGGAGCAGTGTAACGGTCAGGAGGAAGGTTGCCGGCTGGGCGCGCGCGCCAAGTTCGAATGTACAGGCGCGCGGGACAGCAGAAAACCCGGATTGGGAACCAGGTCCTAAAGCCCACCGGAGGGAGGGGGAGGACTCAGGGGACTCAGCGTCAGAAGAGTCTAGGAAGGGCAAGACCCCAGCGGACAGGCGGAACCAGAGGAGGAAAGAGCAAAGGAAGAGGTGGAGCAAGGCTAGAGTCTTAAACTGGTGTCTGGGGGGAGGAGACTCAGACGGAGCTTCAGCGGTCTAGAGTTTGAGACGTAGAGCTGCGCGCCGCGGCTGTGAAAGCGAAACTGAGCTTCAATAAGACTGTTTTATATAACAACGAACTGGCGTTGGTCCTTTGTGAGCTGGGACCTCGGGCAGCTCTGACAGCCGCCCTGAGCCCGGCTTCGGCTGGGGAGGGCGGGATATAAATAAAATTTATTATTATTATTATTATTATTATTATTATTATTAATTATTATTATTCTAGGAGGGCTAGACACGGTGGGGGGAATCACCCCCCCCCACTGCTCCCAGTTTGGATGGCATGGCCTCTTCCTGCTTCTGGGCCAGCTGAGTCTGGCTCCTCCCCCTGGGCTCTCAGGAAGCCTCCAAGATATCAGAAGGAAGGAATCCCTTTAGTCTTCTGCCCAGTTCTGGCTGTCCTGATTAGAGGGACCTCTACTTATTACAGTGCTTACGGCCTATTTTGACGGGCATTAATGATCCTGGCCCAACTGAACTGGCTGCCAATTAGCTTCCACACCCAATTCAAAGTGCCGGTTTTGACCTATAAAGCCATTACCATTATTATTATTATTTTTAACGATTCGTGAAACCACAGTAAAACTAACAAACATTAAAAACTTCCCTATCTTAAAGTCAGATAGTTGTTTATTTTCTTAACACTATCAAAAAGGCTCCATGTTCCGTGTAACCTCACTTCCCACAATCAGGGAACTGGCAGAAGGCCTTCAGAAGTGGAACTCAGGATCCAGGTTGAACATATTAATCCAAGTCTCTGAAAAGTAAATTCATATACAGCCATTGTCTGGCTTCTCCCCACTGTGACATCTTTGATGGCCTATGAGACTGGTCTTCTGACCGAAGCTCTGTCCACATTCCAAGCATTGATATGGTTTCTCTCCTGTATGAATTCTTTCATGGACTATGAGATAGAACTTCCGGGTGAACCTCTTTCCACATTCCAAGCACTGATATGGTTTCTCTCCTGTATGAATTCTTTGATGGGAAGTGAGACTTTCCTTCCGGTTGAAGCTCTTTCCACATTCCAAGCACTGATATGGTTTCTCCCCTGTATGAATCCTTTGATGGGAAGTGAGACCTTCCTTCCAGGTGAAACTCTGTTCACATTCCATGCACTGATATGGTTTCTCTCCTGTATGAATTCTTTCATGGACTATGAGATAGAACTTCCGGGTGAACCTCTTTCCACATTCCAAGCACTGATACGGTTTCTCTCCTGTATGAATTCTTTGATGTGAAGTGAGACTTTCCTTCCGGTTGAAGCTCTTTCCACATTCCAAGCACTGATACGGTTTCTCCCCTGTATGAATCCTTTGATGGGAAGTGAGACCTTCCTTCCAGGTGAAACTCTGTCCACATTCCAAGCATTGATATGGTTTCTCTCCTGTATGAATTCTTTCATGGACTGTGAGATTGAACTTCCGACTGAAGCTCTTCCCACATTCCAAGCACTGATAAGGTTTCTCCCCTGTATGAATTCTCTGATGGGAAGTGAGACTCTCTTTCCGACTGAAGCTCTTCGCACATTCCAAGCATTGATAGGATTTCTTCCCCAATGGATTTATTCGGAGGGAAGCGGAATGGGAGCTTTGACTGAAGTTCTCTCTACACTCAGAATATCTACATTGCTTCTCCATGGTGTAGACATGGTCATGGTCTCCCTGGTTCTTAATCTCTGATTCATCACCAACTGCAACAAAGAAAGAAACGGATCACAGCCTCAGGGAGAAACGCAGCCCTCGGTTATTGAACTTTGCTAATTAATGCTTGGGACACAGGAAGAACTGAAGGGAATTAAAAGTAAGGCCTTACAACAGGCTTCACTGCTTTTGTTGACAGGCATTAATGAACGTATGTATGGGAACCTGAGTGTCAGGAGTGGGGCAGCAATAAATCACAAGGAGTAAGTGAAGTTAACTCCTTATGAGAAGCAACAGGCTGCTCAGAAGTGTCAGGCCTAGTGAGGACAGCAATACTTCCCTCTGGGTCTGGCCCCTATGATCCAGTTGTGGGGACTGAAGGCCCTGCCTTCCCACAACTGACTAAGTCTCCTCCTCTCCCAGATTCTTCCAAAGGGATCTTAAATTCCGAAACAGACATCATGATCCAACAGGGAGCCTTACTGAGAGAGTTCATGATCCCACCATTCTCCTCCATGACTTCTTTATGCAGAGCTCTCTGGTCAGGATCCAGCAACGCCCACTCCTCGTCTGCGAAATGAACAGCTATATCTTCAAAGCATACTAGGCCCTAAAAGAAGAAGAGAAAAGTCTTGCTCTCAGACAGCAGAAAGATCATCTTCTACACATTGTGCTGCTGTTTTGTGTCTGTTTGTTGCCCTATGGTTTTAATGGGATTGTTTGGGTGTACATTATAATTATGGATGTCCGTTTTAACCTCTTAATGGAATTGTTTTATTGTGTATTTTAATGATGGGTATTCATCTTTGTGAAAATGGATGGAACTCCACCTGGTGTTCTTCAGATCCTTCTCTCTGCTCAACATTCCCCCTTCCTCTCCCCCCCTACTGTTCTGGAGGGGGAAACCTTCGCCATGCCCTACAGCCAACTTCAGGGGTGCAGGGGGTCACAGGGAGGGGAAGGAGAGGGAAACCCTATAGTGTAACTGATGGGACTCGTGAGGTGAATTCTGGCCACTCTTTTTTATGGCTTCTCAGCTGTTTACAAGCCTATCTTAGTATTAAATGGTAAATAAAACTGAAGCTACTGAAAGATAATACTAGCATCATTCAGAAGGCTAGTGAATGTGAGGTGATTGTTAATAATTCTCTGCACATAAACCTTCTGGAATGGCCTTTATAGTCTTTGTTAAGGACGATGTTGACAGAAGTCAAGAGCAGGAGCCTCTTTGCCTGCAATGCTCCTTCTCCCTACCTGATCTGGTTCCAGACCTGATGTTTCTCCTCTGCCTCCATGCAAAGATGGATTAAGGGGTCTTGGCAGCATCATTCTGTCACCTGTGAGAGGCAAAGGGAGGTGGCCATTAGCACATGCTTTTCTTCGAGGTGAAGCAATGCACCTCTAACTACAGATGGGGCGCTCTATGCGCGGCTACCTTTGAAGGGGACTCAGAAACTAATCCAGAAGGAGGCTACCAGGCTGGTGACTGGGAGCAGCTGCTGGGACCATATAACACTGGTCCTGAAAGACCTACACTGGCTCCTGGTATGTTTCCGAGAACAATTCAACATGTTGGTATTGACCTTTGAAGCCCTAAACAGCCTCGGCCATGTAGACCTGAAGGAGCGTCTCCACACCAATCGTTCAGCCCGGACATTGAGGTCCAGCTCCAAGGGCCTTCTGGCAGTTCCCTCACTGCGAGGAGTAAAGCTACAGAGAACCAGGCAGAGGGACTTCTCTTGGCCCCAAGAGTCTTCCCCCAAAAGGTGAAAGGAACCCACAGATTAGTTCCTAAATCCATAAAATGCAACCAAAGGGAGAAAGAGCTCCTTCCTCCTTACCTATTGGCCTCTCTCTCCTGACCAACGGAGTCTTCTCTGCCTCAGAGGAATCCAGGCCCATTTCTGCAAAGATAATATTTCCCTGAAAGAGCAAGAAGGATTCAGAACAGAGGATGGGGAGAAATATTAGAAAAGGAATGGCAAAGGGAAAACCATTTGGGGATGCTTTCTGGAAGCTTAGTAGAGGATTTCAGGATACTCTCCCTCCTGTTCAGAGCCCCTTTGGAATATCCAGAGGAAAGTCTCTCTCACCTGCTTTCTCCCTGCCTGCTTCCTCTCCTCTGCCTGACTCAGGAGGAATCCTTCAGCCAGGGCCACCGCCTGGGAACTGGTCTCCGCTCCACATTCCCTCACCCAGCTCTCCATCTCCAGTGGAAGGACAGCCAGGAACTGCTCCAAGATCACCAGGTCCAGCATCTCAGCTTTCGTGTGCCTTTCTGGCTTCAGCCACTGATGGCAAAGGTGGTGGAGTTGGCTGCAAACTTCTCGGGGTCCTTTGGCCTCCTGGTAGCAGAACTGCCTGAACTGCTGGCTCTTCATATCAGAGTGGAGGGTGTTCTCCTCACCCAGGATCTTCTTCACGGAGCTTTCCCAGAATCCCTCACTGCTCCCAGTGTTGATGGCATGGCCCCTTCCTGCTTCTGGGCCAGCTGAGTCTTGCTCATCCATCTGTGTTCTCAGGAAGCCTCCAAGATATCAGAAGGAACCACTTGGCCTTCTGCTAAGTTCTGTCTGTCCTTATTAAAGCGGCTAGCAAAACCTACAAAGGAATACATCTTTCTTGTATAAAATTTATATTATTATCATTATTATTTTATTAAAAACCTATAATTCAAAGTTCAAGGTATTTTTTAAAAAATAATATTGACAGCATCATCAAGTACCTTTTCTAATGAGTCTGGCATCTTTTTTAGGGCCGTACGATAGGGCATACACTCCCCACAGAGCCCCCCCCCCGGCACCTGCCCCTCTTTCCCAAGGCCTCTGACCCCAGAGACAGGTGTTTCCAGGACCCAGAAGTCTGGGAAGGGGAGCTGCTCAGAATGTTTCCCCCTGGCTGCCATCTCTGCCCATCTTTCCCTAACCTGAAAGGGGCTTCTTTGCCTGCCTTTTCTCAGCATCCCAAGGGAGACCACCCTGGCAAGCTCGCCCCCTCCCGGGCTGTGCAGAGGAAGGAGGGGGGCAGGACCCTCCTCTCCCTGACCCCCCCCATGCACCCCCCCCCCCGCTGCAGCCCTGGGACCCCTTTCTCCCAAGGGGGGGGGAGAGGAGGCTCACCGCATCCCGGGAGGCGAAACCTCCCCCCGCTTCCCCCGCTTGCAGGAAATGACGGGAGGGAGGGGAGGGGCCTTTGCTGGGGGGGGGGGGAGGACCTGGTCCCACCTCTCCTTCCTTTCCTCTTCTCTCTAGGAATCCAGCTCAGTTCCCTGCGACCCTTGCAAAGCGGAGCGCCCCGATCTCAGCCCCCCATCTCGAAATGATGAATGGGGAGCAGCCCCGCCCTTTGCACCCGCCCAGAGAGGTTTTATGGAGTGTGCGCAGTGCGCTGCTAGAGTCTTGCTTTGCAGAGAGACGAGAAAAGAGGAGTGAGCTCGGGGTGCTCGGCTTGCCAAGGGTTAAAAGCAACGGGGCTGGATTCCTAGAGAGGAGAGGAGATGAAAGAGGGGAGAAGTCCTCCAGTGCAAAAGCCCCTCCCTCCCCAGTGCCTCCCTGCGAGGGAAGGCGGGGCATATTTTGACAGCCCCTTCTGCCTGGGTGGCGCCTCCTGGGACCTGGTGAGTCTCCTCTCTCTCCCCACTTAGGGTGCACTGGGGAGAAGGGGGTCCCAGGGGAGGGTGCATGGGACGGGGGCTGTTCAGCTTATGCATGGGGGACCCCCCCAGTGGGGCTGCAATGGGGAGAAGGCGAAGGGCAAACTCTCTGTCTTTTTTGTGAAGGAAATGCCCACTTACAGGGCACTGCAATAATCCCATCTGAGCCTGGCATCTCTGTCCTACTGTGGCTGATCAGCTGGCCGGATCTGGAACTGGTCACTCCTAGTCACTGAGGCCACCTGAGCCTCAAGTGACCATGGTGGACCCCAGAGGAACCCCAAGCATATCTGGCTGTGTGGGGGTTAAGTCATGTAACATCGTCATCATTAATTACCTGCCCTTCACCCTAGATTCCCAGGGCAGAAAACCACATTAAAACACAGTACCAAAAGCAGGTTAAAACAACTTGCAGAAAGGAGGTGAGTCCTACTTTACTCACTTTTCAGGGCTAATCTTTGACATCACCCACTTGGCCCTCGGGGGGTTGGATCTGGCCCTAAGAACAAAGAAAAGGGCACCCCACCCCTGTAGTTTGTCTTGAATACATTGGAGATTCCCAGTGCTAGAAAATGGAGCAGGAAAGAAATGTGGACTGAAGTGGGGGAGGGAGAGAGAGCAGCCCTAGAGGACCCCAGGGTTAGGACCCCCACTCTGGCCTGGTGTGCAAATTATACTCAGTCATGGGCCTGACTTGATTTGTTGACTGAAAACACACACAAAAAACCCACATAAACGTAATAGGCTGTGTAATAACAATTGTAAAGTTATTTACTAGAAACTCAAAATTAGATACAGCTTCTCATAACATCAAAGACAACATCGTGATATTAAAATGTAGCTTACTCAGTTAACCACCAAGCCCAGTATGTACAAAATGCAATTCCTGGATATTCCCCTTTTTCACCTATTATGTTTACGTGTTTTTTTCAAGTGGATTTGGGTAATATAGGCATTCTAGTGGTTTGGATTTTGGATTTTGCCATGGCTGATTATACTAAAAAATTTGGTTTCTGCTCCTTCTTCCTTTCCAAAAAAAAAAGGGGGGGAGCATAGTGTCTGGGCTGTGGTGGAATTTTTACCCAGGTTCCAAGCAAGACTCATCTGCACTTGCTCAGGGAACCTCTTTCTTTGCTTTGTAGAATTTGGTATCACTTCTGATTTGGACAGACAGAACTTGGCAGAAGACCAAAGGATTCCTTCTGATCTCTTGGAGGCTTCTTGAGAGCCCAGATGGATGAGCAAGACTCAGCTGGCCCTGAAGCAGGAAGGGGCCATGTCATCAACACTGGGAGCAGTGAGGGATTCTGGGAAAGCTCTGTGCAGAAGATCCTGGGTGAGGAGGACACCCTCCGCTCAGATGTGCAGAGCCAGCAGTTCAGGCAGTTGTGCCACCAGGAGACCGAAGGACCCCGAGAGGTTTGCAGCCGACTCCACCACCTTTGCCATCAGTGGCTGAAGCCAGAAAGGCACACAAAAGCTGAGATGCTGGACCTGGTGATCTTGGAGCAGTTCCTGGCTGTCCTTCCAGCAGAGATGGAGAGCTGGGTGTGGGAATGTGGAGCGGAGACCAGTTCCCAGGCGGTGGCCCTGGCCGAAGGATTCCTCCTGAGTCAGGCAGAGGGGAGGAAGCAGGCAGAGCAGCAGGTGAGAGAGACTTGCCTCTGGATATTCCCAGGGGTCACTTAACAGGGGGGAGAGTATCCAAAATTTCTCTCTCTATATTTTTTTTTAAGCTTCCAAGGAATTATCTCTGATGCCCCAAAAGGTTTTGCCTCTGCCATTCCACTTCTAGGCATTCTTCCCATTTCCTGTTTTAATCTTTGTTGCTATTTCAGGGAAACTATCCATTTGCAGAAATGAGTGCCAATCACTTTGAGGCGGAGAGGATTCCATTGATGACTGAAGAGAGGCCACTGAGTAAGAAGAAATTAGTTTTTCCATCTCTTTGATAACATTGTGTGTATTTTGTAACTAATGTGTGTTTTTTCTCCATCTTTTTGGAGAGACACTTGGGGCCAAGAGCCCAAAGGAGGGGGGGTGTATTTTTACATAGCTAAAATATGAAATGTGTCCAAATGTCCAAATGCATGCACCATCTGCAGTTAGAGCTGCATAGCTTCACCTCTGACAGAAGCATGCACTCATGGCTTCTTGTTTACCTTTGTCTCTTGCAGGTGTCAGAACGGTGGTGGAAAGACCTCCTCATCCATCTTTTAATGGTGGTGGAAGGGAAGCAGCAGCTATGGAACCAGATCAGGTAGCAGGAAGGAGCATTGTGGGGAAAGAGGCTGAGGGGTGGGGCAGCCAGGATGCCTCTGGGGCTGAGTGAATCTCCCTGAGAGTAATGAACAGCCACCTCCACTTAACTAGGCTTCTGAATGTTGCTAGCATTATTTATCAGTAAAGGTAAAGGGACCCCTGACCATTAGGTCCAGTCGTGGCCGACTCTGGGGTTGTGGCGCTCATCTTGCTTTACTGGCCGAGGGAGCCGGCGTACAGCTTTTGGGTCATGTGGCCAGCATGACTAAGCCGCTGGCAAACCAGAGCAGCGCACAGAAACGCCGTTGACCTTCCCGCCAGACCAGTACCTATTTATCTACTTGCACTTTGATGTGCTTTCGAACTTCTAGGTTGGCAGGAGCAGGGATCGAGCAACGGGAGCTCACCCCATCGCAGGGATTCGAACCGCTGAACTTCTGATCGGCAAGTCCTAGGCTCTGTGGTTTAACCCACAGCGCCACCTGCGTCCCTATTTATCAGTAGTTGCAGTTTAATTTCTATATTGATTGTTAAATGCTAAATTAGGCTTGTAAGCAGTTGACAAAGTATCCCAAACATTGACCAGTATTCACCTAAACAGCCCCAGCAGGTGCACAATGGGGTTTCCTTCTGATGCCCCCTTTGAGGTTGGCAATAGAGCAGCAGGAGGGTCCCCTGAACGCTGAACAGTGCACAGGGAGAGGAGAGGGGAGGTCCTTCCATCTGGCAAATGAACACATACAGAGACAGCATGAGTTGAAGAACACAATGCAGAGTTCCACCCATTTACATCAAAAGTACTACCCATTGTTAAAATAGGTAAAGGTACCCCTGTCAGTTAAGTCCAGTAGCGAACAACTCTGGGGTTGCGACGCTCATCTCGCTTTATTGGCCAAGGGAGCCGATGTACAGCTTCCGGGTCATGTGGCCAGCAAGATTAAGCCGCTTCTGGCGAACCAGAGCAGTGCACAGAAACACCGTTTACCTTTCCCGCCAGAGCGGTACCTATTGATCTGCTTGCACTTTGATGTGCTTTCGAACTGCTAGGTTGGCAGGAGCAGGGACCGGGCAACAGGAGCTCACCCCGTCGCGGGGATTCAAACCGCTGACCTTCCGATCGGCAAGTCCTAGGTTCTGTGGCTTAACCCACAGCGCCACCCACGTCCCTAATCTAATCGTTAAAATACTCATCATTAAAGTACACAATAAAATAATTCCATTAAGTGGTTAGAAGAAGAAGCCAAACAACCCCCTTAAAACAACACAGCCGTGCTGTCTAAGAAGAGGACGTTTCTCTTTTTATTTTAGGGTCCAGTCTGCTTTGAAGATGTCACTGTCCATTTCACAGACGAGGAGTGGGCCTTGCTGGATCCTGACCAGAGAGCTCTGCATAAAGACGTCATGGAGGAGAATCGTGGGATTGTGGCCTCTCTTGGTAAGGCTCCCTGTCAGATCATATTATCTGTTTTGAAATTCAATTCATAACTCTATGTGATGAGCCTACAATATTCTGATGGAGCTCAAGAGCGCAACCCCCAGCAGTGGCGATTTGGAAACTCCCCCCCCTCCAGTTTTGCTTTTTTAAACATTATAGAAGATAGTAAGATTAAAATGACTGGGCTGGGCTGGTTAGGAAAGTGGTGGTAGTTTCTGTCAGGTTTATTATTATTATTATTATTATTATTATTATTATGCTTCTGTCCAACTTCAGTTGACTAAAGAGATGACTGACATTGGAAATTGGTGTAGAATCCATGACTGGGCCAAGCAAAGTCCACTCCGGAAAAGAGCCAGGCTTTTCAAACCTCAGGTTCCCATAAATATGTTAGCTAATGCCTTTCAACAAATGTGGTGATCCCTGTAGTGAGACTTCCTAATTCCCTTCAGTTCTTCCTGTATGTATCACAAGTGTTAATTAGCATTGTTCGATAATTTGAGCTCCATTTCTTCCTGTAATCTGGCTGCAATCCATTTCTCTATTCGTTCCAGGTGGTGATGAATTGGAAATTAAGAACTGGAAAGACCAAAACCTAAGGCTCTATTCTGTTTCTATTTTTGTTGCAGGTAGTGATGAAATGGAAATTAAGAACAAGAGGGACCATGATAAAAACCACACAGTGCAGAGGCCATATAAAGATTTGGAGCATGGAGAGAGCTTCAGTCAGCACTTTATTTCCATTTCCCATCAAATAAATCCCTTTGGGAGGAAACCCTATCAGTGCTTGGAATGTAGAAAGAACTTTAGTCGGAAGGATAGTCTGACTTCCCATCAAAGAATTCATAGAGGGGAGAAACCATATCAGTGCATGGAATGTGGAAAGAGCTTCACTCAGAGTGCCCATCTCACTTCCCACGAAAGAATTCATACAGGGGAGAAACCACATCAGTGCTCAGAATGTGGAAAGAGCTTTAGTGTGAAGTCAAATCTCACAGCCCATCAAAAAATTCATATCAGGGAGAAACCGTATCAGTGCATAGAATGTGGAAAGAGCTTCACTCAGAGTGCCCATCTCACATCCCATCAAAGAATTCATACAGGGGAGAAACCATATCAGTGCTCAGAATGTGGGAAGACCTTCAGTAAAAGGGCTCATCTCACTTCCCATCAAATAATTCATATAGAGGGGAAACCCTATAAGTGTTTGGAATGTGGAAAGAGCTTCAGTCAGAGTGCCCATCTCACTTCCCATCAGAGAATTCATACAGAAGGGAAACCACATCAGTGCTTAGAATGGGGACGAAACTTCACATTGATGTCCAATCGCACAGCCCCTCAAAAAATTCATACAAAGGAGGAACTATTTTATTGCTTGGAATGTGGAAAGAGCTTCCGTCAAAGTGCCCATCTCACTTCCCATCAAAGAATTCATACAGGGGAGAAACCGTATCCCTGTTCCAAATGTGGAAAGAGCTTTAGTGACAGGGCAAATCTCACTTCGCATCAAAGAATTCACACGGGGGAGAAGCCATATCAGTGCTTGCAGTGCGGAAAGAGCTTCAGTCAGAGCAACAATCTCGCCTCACATCAAAGGATCCATACAGGGGAGAAACCGTATCAGTGCTTGGAATGTGGAAAAACCTTCAGTCACAGCCACCATCTCCTTTCCCATCAAAGAATCCATACAGGGGAGAAACCATATCCTTGCTTGGAATGTGGAAGGCGCTTTAGTGACAGGGCCAATCTCACTTCGCATCAAAGAATTCATACAGGGGAGAAACTATATCAGTGCTTGGAATGCGGAGACAGCTTCAGTCGTAAGAGAAGTCTCACTTCACATGAGAGGACTCATAGTAGGGAGGAACCATTTTAAATCCTTAGAACATGGAAACAGCTTCAATTCCAAGATGATCTCACTTTCCATCAAAAAATTAGTACAGGGCAGAAACCATATCACTAGTTGGAATGTAGAGAAAGCTTCAGTCTGAGCCCCCATCTCACTTCCAATCTAAGAATTCATCCATGGGAGAAGCCACAACAGTGCTGAGAATGTGGAAAGAAGTTCAATGAGAGGGCCAATCTCACAGTCCAACACAATCAAACCTAAACAAATTCTTGTGCACATGTGAGAAAAATGAATATTCTCTGTTAGCAGAGTTAAATAATTTTTCATATTATATAGATTTTGCTTTAGTTGTTTCATGTGTTTATGGGATTACGTATCAGTGTATCTATGAGTGATTTGATTCTTACATTCCTACATTTTGCAAATCTCTCATGCCACACGTCTACACTGCATTCCATGCTGATCTGACCCTGGATTGTGGGAGGTGTATTTGCATTACTAGAAAGGCACAAATGCCCAGCCAAGGAGGGAGGTATTTGCATTAGAACTGGAGTGCTAAGCAAGTGTTCCAGGGACATGGAAGGACGATTTGCCCCTTACTGAAGGCAACTGGAGGCCAAGTGCAAAAGCTGAAACCTAAGGGTTGGGGTTCCCCAAGATAAATGAGGGGAGCTGAAAACAGAGTCCAGCCAGAACTTTTACACTCCTTTACCTGTGACCTCTTTTGATGTATGCAGTGTTGTTTTGTGATGTATAGCAGATATTTGTATAAAACCCTATAAAACCTTTGTTCACATGTTCCTTTGCGGACAGTCTTTTCTAGC